GCTAAACTCCGACTATCTTGTGATCGAAGGATTTCTTTCTTCTGATGAGAAACTGAAACTGCAAGCTTTAATCGTCACTTGTGCTATACGGCAGAGCCTGCAAAGCCATCAAAGACAAACAAAAACGAACAAAATTTTTCTGCCCCAGTCTGGCACTAGGAAAATTCTGTGAGTTATTAGAGAAATCTGTAAATTATCTAATTTATTGAAAAGGCAGATAGAAACAGTAGTATAAACTAGCTGAAAGAGATAAAATTTGGTAACAAAGGATATTTTAACCAGGGATCGGTACCTTGTGCAACTGAAAGGAAATGTAATCATGGGCTGGTACCCTCTCTTACTGGAAGGAAATAGAATCGGGTGTTAGCACCATGTATTATCGATAAAGTGTTGAATCCCTCTAGGCGAAACAATTCGATCTGAGTTAAACTGTATTTAAACAGCCTGAGCGAAGATTACTTCTACCCGAAACTATGAACTAGATCCCCCTAGGCGAAACGGTTCTACCTGGGTTAAGCTATGTAAAACACCCTGAGCGAAGAGTACTTCTACCCGGAAACTATGAGCTAGATCCCCCTAGGCGAAATGGTTCTACCTGGGTTAAGCTACATAAAACACCCTGAGTGAAGTGTACTTCTACCCGGAAACTATGGGCTGGATCCCCCTAGGCGAAACGGTTCTACCTGAGTTAAGCTTCAGAAAACACCCTGAGTGAAGAGAACTTCTACCCGGAAACTATGAGCTGGATCCCTCTAGGCAAAAACGGTTCTACCTGAGTTAAGCTTCAGAAATAGGAGGTGTGAACAATAGTGATGCATGCTGAAAATAAAGGAAAAATGGAGATCTTAAGGATCTTACGCTTGGTGACATTCGTTCACTTAGGACCGACATCCTGCATTACTTTGTTCCTGCTTTAAACAAAGAAAAATCTTGTGAGTTTTTAAAGTGAATAGCTTTAAACTTGTGGCCTTGATGCCCTGAATAGCTTGATTCACGACCACTGCTGTCGAAGAACCGATTCTGTCAGCGTGGTACCGAGATGTTATGCTGATCTGTATCATTTTCTAGAGACCTTGGCTTCACAATATTGCCCCCAACTGTTTCATACCCAGATGTCCATGGTACCGCTACCCTTGTCTCTAAGGCAATGCATTTTTTCTCTAAAATCAAACTCAGTTGTCTTACCCCAGTATCAGTTTGTGTCCGTAGTGCTCATCAACTTTTCTCATAAAGTAGGTCTTTCTTAGACGACCTTTTTAGCTCTTTTTTTAGATACTTTGTTTGTCTTATCGAATGAGATCAGAGATGGATTAGTGCCTTCGTCAATGCCATATATGCCCCAAATTGTGCTCGACATTACGGNTTTCGGGAAAAGGAATAGGGAGATTTATCTGGAGGTATGTGCCGACTTTAATGAATCATGACATGCATTTTGGACTGGATGCCTGATCTGTATGAGCTGTCTAATTCTCAAAATCCGCCGCAAATGTTCATCTTGAATTTGTCTTGGTTGTGCTCATGCCGGAGAATCAAAGACCCTTATTCGGCTAGTAGCGCCCATTGCAGGTTTTCTCTAACTAACCTCTCTCATTTCTCTACTAACTGTCACCTTATGGTGCCCATATGGGTTTTCACCAATAAGACTCTCTCATTTCTCTGCTCACTATCGCCTTATAGTGCCCGTACGGGTTTTCACTGATAAGACTCTCTCATTTTTTTTTTTGACTAAGATACTGTATGAGAGAGGTTATCCAATGCCTTTGGCATGGACTTCAATCATTCTTAAAAAACATCGATCAGAAGTTCTTGAAAGATAAAAAGGCGAAATGAACCTTGAACTGAATTACAACTTTTGGAATAATTTTTACAGAAAAAACCGTGAAATAAAACAAACTTCTGCCCCAGTTTTGGAGTATTGGGAATATGGATTTTTTGTTCTGATGGGACCGAACCCATGGTAAGGCTGCCTACATATCCTTTCGGAATCAGGTTGGACGTAGTTCAATGACTCAGAGATTTGTTGTTGTTTTTTTACAAGTACACAAGTTCCAAGAAGTGAGAAACAAGGAAGACAAAAACGGCTCAAAAGGATTAACAAAAAGGGTGACACCTATTTGGAATAACGAGAAAATGATAGCCTTTGCCGCTTCAATCTGAGAAAATCAATGCGTAAAAATTCTACAATGGGTATATATCAGACATAATATCTTTTGACTGCATCTGCGTTAATAGTCATGTCTGGTACCCGTCCTTCTTCATCTACCAAGTGCAATGCCCCTTTTGGTAACACTTTCTTGATAATGTAGGGTCCTTGCCAGTTCGGGGCGAACTTTCCTTTAGCTTCTACCTGGTGCGGAAGGATGCGTTTCAAAATCAGCTGGCCTACCTCAAACTGCCTTGGTCGCACTTTCTTATTGTAAGCGCATGCTATTCTTTGTTGGTATAACTGGCCGAAACACACTGCTGCTAGCCGTTTTTCATTGATCAACATCAGTTGTTCTAATCGGGTTTTGACCCACTCAGTGTCTTCAATCTCTGATTCCACAATAATTCGGAGAGAGGGAATTTTGACTTCAGCGGGTATTACAGCTTCAGTTCCGTATACAAGCAGATACGGAGTTGCGCCAAAAGATGTGCGAATAGTCGTACGGTATCCCAAAAGAGCAAAAGGCAACTTTTCATGCCATTGCCTGGAACCTTGGATCATCTTCCTAAGAATCTTCTTGATGTTCTTGTTTGCCGCTTCAACTGCTCCATTGGCTTTTGGCCGGTAAGGGGTAGAATGGCGATGCATGATTTTAAATTGTTCGCATACCTCCTTCATCAAATGACTATTTAGATTGGCTGCATTGTAGTGATAATGGTCTTTGGGATACCAAAGTGACAAATGATGTTGGAGTGAACAAAGTCTACCACTGCTTTCTTGGTGACTGCTTTGAAAGTGACGGTTTCCACCCACTTGGTGAAGTAATCAATTGCAACCAAAATGAATTTATGCCCATTTGAAGCCTTTGGCTCGATCGGCCCAATAACATCCATTCCCCAAGCAACGAAAGGCCAAAAAGAGGACATGGAATGCAACTCCGAAGGAGGCGAGTGAATCTGGCACTGGTGACATTTGCGAACAAATCTGAAGCAATCTCGCTCCATGGTAATCCAGTAATACCCTTCCCGTAGAATCTTCTTCGCCAAAATATATCCATTCTTGTGAGGTCCACATACCCCTGAATGCACTTCACTCATGATCCACTCTTCTTCTGTAGCATCTATGCATCTCAACAAGTTTAAATCTGGGGTCCTCTTGTACAAAATTTCCCCATTCAGGAAGAAACCACTGGCGAGTCGCCTTATAGTTCTTTTTTGATCTCCTTTGGCATGCTCTGGATATTCTCTTGTTTTCAGGAATCGTTTTATGTCATGATACCATGGTTCACCATCTGGTTCTATCTTGATTGTATTACAGTAACTGTGTTGATTTCGAACTTGGATTTCTAGTGGATCAATATGAGTGTTACCTGGATAAGGGAGCATCGAGGCTAGAGTAGCCAATGCATCAGCTAGCTTGTTGTGAAACCGGGGAATGTACCTGAACTCGATAGATTTGAATATTTTGCTCAAGTCTCGCACACATTGTCTGTACGGAATAAGTTTGATGTCTCGAGTCTCCCATTCGCCTTGGGCTTGCCTGATA